AACCAGGGAATCAGACACCGAAGCAGTTGGGCTCTAAATGAAGCTTCGGACGTCACCGATCACGTGACTCTGGCCAAACAAATCAAGCTTCGACACAGAGCTTCTGAAGCACCGGAGCGTCAGCTTCAAGCGGGCCATCACTACCTTACAGTATAAAGTGCATCAATGCAACTAAAGTTGTGATTTGGCAGTATTTGAATAAAATGTAAATGTCTTCAGCAGACCTCAGCGATCTAGATGTATGGTTGTAGTAACTCACTGATGCTGCTATTCATACTGTCATTATATTAATGCTGCTATCCTGTATATATGTACATACATGTTTGAGTACTTACGATTGTTTTTTTGTACTTTTTATATTTTACATTTATATTTATTATTGAAACTTGCACCAAGGGAGTGGCACTCCAATTTCGTTGTACTCTGTACAATGACAATAAAGGCTATTCTATTCTATTCTATTCTATTCTATTCTGATGTCATTGGGTGAGAACATGGATTGTCATTTTCAAAGGTGATAGTTTCAGGTTAACAAAGAAATAAAATTATTCCACAAATTTGTTCAGAAACTTTTACACATACCAACCTTTCTGAAAGCAGCTGGCTTCCTTTTGTCCTCAGGTGTGTGTTTGGAAAGGCCTGAGACTGGGGGAAACAAGACCTTGATTATACTTCCCTAACCTTTCCCTTCGGTTTGCTCCAGGAGCTCCTTTTACTTTCACACATGGTAAGGAGAAGACAACTAGGTGAATACTGCTAATGTCTAAATTAACATCCACTCACAGTAAACTAAAAACATTTAGGTTTATAAGATAAATAAATATAAGTTGTTAACAGTTCTAAGGTTTTATTTCCAACACAGGCTGGCCCGTCCTCCTCTGTTCCTTCACCTTCAGCATAAACTGTCAGCTAAATATTACTCTGCAAACTCAGTAAAGGCTCCTTAAACAAGTTTGTGCTGTTTCGTTTAGTGTACAACATTAATGTTAAAATATAGGTTAAGCATCATAAATATAATTAAAATCACCCCCAGCTGCAACATTAAAGACTCAATAATTACGATTAAATATGACATGTATGATTCTCCATAATGAGTACATATGAGTTAAATACATTGTCAAGTGTTTAAACGTGTAGAAATTCATTTGTTATTTTAGAGCAGTCAAACCAAATGATTGCACGTTGATAGAATAAAATAAAAGACGATTGCTTCATATTTGAATAAGAATCTGAAAGATTTTTGAGTCTATCGCATGAATTGCTTTGTACGGGGGAATGTAGTGGAACAAAGCTCATTTGTTTTAAATCTACATTTGCACTTTTCCAATTAAGTCTCTTTTGTTCTTGCTCTGCATCACCCGGCCTCATTCTCAACACATAACAGCCCAAACACGTGCATAACCAAGGAGCTGCCGATCACTGAGATGAGCAGCTACTGGGTCACTTTAGCGCCACCTGCTGGACACATGTTGGACATGCAGGGTGTAGCGTCGCATCTGTGGAGCAAAATAAGTGGGAAATCTCAATGTAAATCAATCTGACTGTAATCCTGACATTCTTAATTTTTCACAGAAGTACATGTTTGTGAAAAACAGGCACTCAGCTGACTTTAGAGCAGGCTGATCCATCCAGGTCACTAGAATTCACTTGAAATTCCTGGAAATTTACCCCTAAAGTCCTTAAAGTTCAAACCAATGACAAGAAAACTTCAATGATTACAAATATTTTAATAGCATAACTCAATAATCAGACAAGTCAAAGTTGTGACTCTCAGACATGAAATTATACTCATGGATCAAGAAGAAGAAGAAGAAGAGGCCACGATTCCAGGGGTGAGCCAGGGAGCCACAGGGAACATCGGTGCATTAACTAAGCTGTTTAGTCCTTTTGGAGAAACACATGGATGCCAACCAGGCACCGCTTGTCCTCATCAGCAGCTCTGGCATCGTGGAGCTAACCTGTTCACATTTAACAGTGGACAGTGATTGAAAATGATCACCCCTCAGATACTAATGTGAGCATCAGAAAACAACTTCCTGTTTGGTTTTCAGTTGAAAAGTCACAGACTACCTTCCAGAAACGGTTTTATCCCACTATGAGTGCAATAACACAATGACCTAGTGTTAACCTCAGCAGCCTAATGGCCATTTTAGCCACTTGGGGAAAAGTAGAACTGATTTCAAATCCACAACAGTTTAAACATAATACATGTAAAATAAAGATGCACTCATTGTCCCTCTGCAGGACCTTCAGTGATGTTGCTGTCTCAAGCTTTATTGAGACTGACCAACCCCGAGCTCGTGTTTAAAGTCTGAAGGTTTTACAGGGAAAGTTACACATTAATGGCACACCGCCATCTTTCTTCTGTTTTGAACAGCTGGGTCACAACTTCTGCCTCAAAGTGAGCTTTTATTTTTTGCTAATGTGCTCTAACATGACTGACTGGTGCTTCACTCTAGGAGCATGTTTGGCTCGTCTCTTTGCTATGACTCTGTTCTCGTGTAAGCCAATCGGGACGGGGCAACATTTAGCAGTGTTTCTTTCACAGCCAATGGGATCAGTCCTGATAACGTTTGATGGCAGTTTCTGATTCGAAGCCTCTGGACTGAACAGTCACCTGCACGTTTGCACTGCAGAGTAAAACACTGGTCAGATTGAAGCTGCTGCAACAGCTTGAGTACTCCTCATTAGAACTGACGGAACCGTTCTGTTCTCTTTGGGTCCTCTACCTTCGCCCACCCAGCAACTGTAAGACTAACTCCTCATCCTCTGCCAAAGAGAGACCAGTGTCCAGAGCTGTGTGCTCATCATCTTCATCGCTCACTTTCCTCCTCTTTCCTGCTGTATGCTTCTCATCCTCCTCTTCGCTGTCCTCCTCCTCTTCCTCTTCACTGCTGTGCTGCCGTTTAGACGACCCCATTTCCATCTCGTCCTTCTCCTCCTCCTCTGACGACGAAGAAGACGACGAGTGCACTTTGTCGGGATCTGGCAGGGCACTGGGGTCAAACTCGTCTTCGCTGTCATTGGCCAGGTAGGCCACGACCTCGTCCTCCTCGTCCTGGTCCCGCTTGCTTGCCTCCTTCCTGGCAGCCCTCTCCTTCAGCCGCTTCTCTCGGTGTTTGGCTTTCACCTTGCGGCTGTACTCCTGCTTATCAAACTCTTGATCTTCCCGCTTCAGCCTCTCCCGAGCCTTTTCCACATTGAGTCCCGAAACGTCCTCCTCTTCTTCCTCCCCCTCATCCTCAGCAGTCACTGCTTGCTGGACTGGTGGCCAAAGCTGCACAGCCTCACCTTCTTCATTGAAAGTCACTTTGGTGTTTACCTGAAACTTTCTCTTGAGGATCTTTTTAGCTTCTTTGTACTTTGTCTCTTTCTCAGTTTTCTTTTCTGGGTCATTTTCAGGATCCTCTGGACTCTGCTGATCCTCCGTCAGATTAAAGACATCCTTTCGTTTGACTGTCAGCAGGTCCAAGTCTCGTAGATCATCGTCGTCATCAGCGTCACCTGCACTCGGGGTTAATGTCTTGGACGTATCCAAACCTCCTTCATCACCACCGTCCTCATCCTCACTGGACTCGTCTGACTCCGAGTTTTGCTGCTCCTCACGAGAAACCTCTCCTTTCAGCTGGGCCTTAAATCTCCTCAGCTCTTCTTCTTCCTCAGACTCCTCCTCCTGCACTTCTTTCTCTACTTTCTGTGCCTGAGCTTTACTTAGGAACCGAACCCTTGGGGCCACAGCGAGGCCGAGGGACAAAGCGTACTCGTGAAGCTTGATCTTAAAGGCATCAAACACCTCTTTGTTCTTCATGAGGTACACCGAGCGCAGGTAGGAAACAAAACACCTCTGGGCTCGCTCCTTCTGCTCCTTCTCCTGAGCGAGGAAGGCCTCCAGCTTCTGCTGCACGTTCTGCAGTTTGTCTGGGTTCACCTGGAAGTAGCCAAACAATTAAGTTAATCAGATCTTATGTAATGTTTTGTGACTACACTTAAATCTGCCTGTTTGAAACCACATATATATTAAATAAATGAACTATAATAAATATATTCTGAGGAGGTTTCTAAGACTAGTGCAGCTCTGGGTGACGAGATGTGCGGACATAAAGGTTTTTTATTTTGCAATAGTTGAAATATAAGTACCACATTAAGCTGTATCAGCAGTATTGGGTTTAGCATAATCATATTATATCTGCCTGTACTTGCTCCTAAATTTGAGTTGCTGTCACCACTGTGAGTCTTTTCACCAACTTTTCTGTCAGATTTGTAGTGATACTTAAAAAGTTATTTGACGTGTGCACACCTGGTTAGGACGGCAGTTTGTGCAGATATTAACAGTGTTATACTAACGTGGAATTCCTGGGGAGTAATGCAAAGTACTGCACCGAGGGTTTGAAATGTCTCCTTCTAAATGGAGTAAAAACATCAAACAGTTATTTTACTGTTTTACATAAACCTACTGAACAGTGTGTGTGTGTGTGTGTGTGTGTGTGTGTGTGTGTGTGTGTGTGTAATGGGTAGATGATGTCTCACTTGTATCTTGTTGATGGGAACTTTCTTCTCCTCCAGCTGCTTCACCATGCCTTTCTCCTCCGAGGGCAGCAGCAGCAGCAGGGCCTCTCCACCCTCCTTGTACCTGGCCGTCCGGCCCACCCTGTGGATGTATGTGTCGGCGTCCTCTGGACAGTCAAACTGCAGCACCCAGTGGACGGCAGGGAAGTCCAGGCCTCTGGCAGCTATGTCGGTGGCAAAAAGCACAGCGTTTTGCTTCTTGAGGAAGTCGTTGTACACCTCCACCCTCTTCATTTGCTGCTGTTTTCCATGCAGAGCCAGGATGGGCATGCCTGGCCGGAGACGGCAGAAAGCTCGGAACAGGTACTGCACCTCCTTGCAGCAGGCGAAGAAGACTATGATCTTCTTCTTTAGGTGGCTCCTAATGAATGAGTAGAGCATGTTGACCTTCTGGTGGAGCTCACACACGATGTAGTTCTGCTCCAGCGTGGCTGGCGTGCTGAACTTGGCTTTTTCGTGCACCCACACATACTCCGGATCTTTGAGACTGAGCCGGCCCAGGTCTTTGACTGATTTGGTTTGCGTGGCAGAAAACAGCAGAGTCTGCCGGGACTTGGGGAGATTCTCCACGATGGCATTGAGCGTATCTGCAAAGCCCATGTCCAGAATGCGGTCTGCCTCATCCAGGACCAGCATGTGGAGGTCGGACGCGTGGAAGGTGGCCGTTTCATCCATGTGCTGGAGGAGTCGGCCCGGGGTGCAGATGACAATGTTGGTACGGTGAATCCTCTCACACTCGCTTTTCAGGTCTTTTCCGCCGATGATGAGCCCTGCAGAAAACTCGTGGTTCCTGCCCACCTTGCGCAGGACTTCAAAGGTCTGGTAGGCGAGCTCTCGGGTGGGAGAGATGATGAGAGCACCGAGGCCGTCCATGGAGCTCCATTGCTGGCGGTAGAGACACTCCAGGACCGGTATGAGAAAGGCTAAAGTCTTACCGGAGCCAGTTTTAGCCGCACCGAGAACATCTTTCCCCTGCAGAGCGAAGCCGATGGTCTGCCGCTGGATCTCCGTAGGCTGCCGATACTGAGCCTCCTGCAGGCCCAGCAAGGTCTTCTTAGAAATGGGGAAGTCGGAGAACTTGACAACCTCCTTGAGGTTGATTTCTCCATACCTGCTCACCAGCTTATCGATGTACTCTCGTTCTACCTGCCACTCGGGCTTCTTCTTCTGCGCCCTCTCTTGCTTCACTCGTGCTTTGGTCCGGTTGTACTTTTTCTTCCACTTCTCGAAGTTTCTGACGGGGTCGACGCTCGCTTTCATCTTTTGGGGTTTCGGTTTTTTCCCAACAGGATTTGGGCCTTTTTTCTCCATGACTAAAGACGAGAATCGCAGCAAGATCGAGTCAAAAACACACACGCTGGACTCTAGATAAACAGCATGGAGAAGCCTGCTCGCCGTCGCGTGTTGAATGACGTAGTCATCCCGCGACTCAAATCTCTAACGTGGGGAAGCTTTGCCCTGAACCTCATTTGACAGGCAGAACTGCAAAATATTTATTTATGTATTTAAATGTATTCACAGCGCCGTGTAAAGAAAACGGGAGAATAACAAAGACAGAAGTGGGTGCAAAGGTCAGCATAATTCCGCAGTGTTGAATATTTTACCGTCAAAGGTGGCAGCTGCCTTGGCCAGCTTCAGAAAACGTGTAAAAACAACAGTTGTGGTTGTCATTCTCACAGAGGACTCACGTATTCACATCCAAATTAAACCACGATGTTGAGTTGTGTAAATCTCATTTCGCTGCTTCTTTTGAATCTTCTTTCACTTTAGGGGTTTAGGAGGTGGAAACATACTTTCTCCTTATTATTTAACATCCTCGACACTATAATGTTCAATGTTCACAGCTAGAGTGGAAAAAAACAACTCAAAGAGTGCGAGAAGCAGAAAATATTGTCTTCAATCCATCATTTGTTTTCAACAGACATGATATACAACAGACCTAACGAGCACTAAGTCTGCTTCTCTATTCACGTTTCAAAAACTCCTTCAAAAACTTTTTTGCGTATAAGTATCAACTGCTTTTTATTCAGCTTTCACAGCCATCTTATCCACCTCCAATTATTCATAAAGAGCATGCCACAGGCAGCAGTAACAGTTCCGCTATAATTTCTTTATTAAAATCATGAAAATCAATTCTGTGTCAGAGAAAATCTAAGAATGATGTTATTGCTGGAGATAGTCCTCGTTTATAAAGTTTGTAAAATGCCCCATTAGTGCTGTGCCATACTGCAGATTTTATTTGGTATCACTCTGATACCAAGTAAAACCAGGGCCAGTATTGCTGATACCAGTACAGATAGTGGTACTTTGAACTTATAAAGGCAGCTCGTGTTGTGGAGAACAGTTTGTGAGCTTTTTATGTATTTTCAAACTTCTATGAAGACCTGCAATGTAAATGTGCCTGTCTTTAAAGGACTTTGTGTCTTATAAAGGTGCTACAGGCTACAAACAGCATCGACCTGAGAGTCAAAAAAACATCATATGTCATCGTGCATGTTTGATGTTTATTTTTTTAATTTCTAAAAAATAATTCATTTAACACATGTAAATATTTATATGTATAAATCTTATCACTCTTTCTAGTATTGATCCGATACCAACACCAGCATCGACACTATCGTTTCGACCCGGTCACCTGTAGGTCCCGCTACAGCCCAGCAGGTGGCGGTAAGACCGCAGAGTTTGGACGTCAACTGCGCGAAAACAAGAAGACGAAGAAGAACATGTCGACGCTGGTACCGCTCTACAAGCACCTGATCAGAAGAGAAGACAGATGATAAACAAGTACTAATATAGACCACTTTGCACAACACAGAGTGGATATCCGTCGGCCGAGCCTCGCCGACACCCTGCAGCTCTTATGCTAAACACGGCATGGCAGAGAGACCGGACAATGAGGTAACAGTCAGGGTAGCACTGGTTAGTAAAACATGCCACATTTTAACTTCGTGCTCTTAACACCCAGAAGTCGTTAAAGTCCCTTTTAAAGTGAAGCATGGATTTAAATAACCCACAACAGAGAGGCAGAGCTGTTACGTGACGTCTGCAGACGAGGAGAAACTTGTGATAGCTGCACAGCTACGACTACAGGAAGCTAGCAGCAACTGACAAACTGGAAGTAAACACGAGTCACATTAGTCAGAAGGTTTAAGTTAATTTTGCTGAGTTTCTGGCCTGTTAGCAACTCGGCGATACGTGCCTGCAGATTACAGAGCCAAATAAAACTTTCCTTCAGCATTAAAATAGGCAAAAGCGTTAACGCTCCGCGTGTGTTCGTTAGGAAACAGAGCTAAAAACATTTAGCCCACATTATGTATCTACAATAAATACAAATGCAGTTTTATGAAGTGACATTTTAACATGAAAGTCCAGTATCTCAAAATACCAGCTAGCTAAAAGGAAGATTGACTATTATATGTTACTTAAAGGCAAGCTGTACATTTGTACTGTTGGACTCTGCAGGAGGAAAGGTGGAGAAGAGCCTGCAGGCAGAGTGCAGCGGGTGGGGACGAGTGTCACGGGTGATTTTTGACAGATGGATAGCAGCAAGAGATAAAGGGAAGAATCGTAAGATGTTAGTTAGACCTGCTATTATGCACTGACAGAAAGACGTGAGGCCGACCTGGAGGTGGCAGAGCTGAAGATGCTACTGAAGATTTTTGTTGGGAGCGACCAGAATGGACACAGAATGGACACAGAATGGACACAGAATGGACACAGAATGGACACAGAATGGACACAGAATGGACACAGAATGGACACAGGGACAGCTCATGAGTGGTTTGGAGTAAAGTTAATGAGGCAGAGCTGAGATGGTGCAGAGGAGGGAGAGTGCATGTGGAAGGATGTTGAAGATGCAGCTGCCAGGCAGGAGGAAAACCAGAGATGATTCATTGACGTAGTGAAAGAGGATATGCAGAGGACTGGTGTGACTGAAGACGATGCTGTTGAATTATAATGACTTCTTATTTTATTTGTATATAAGTAATGTGGAAGCTACAGCTAATGTTGATCAATATACTGCTGAGTGTTGTAATCTATAACTATGTGTAATGATGCACAAATATGTAGGCTAACATTGTTATTCTTAGATATGGACCCTGCTGACTGCCAGTCAGCAAAAAAGCTCACACTTACTCTGGCCTATGTTTAGCTGTTACATCAGTTTAGCATTGGCAAAATGTTGAATTGTGGTGTAATAAAAACCTGAAGCAGAACAAAAGAACATCGGCACAAAACGTGGTATCAGCCAGATGGTGTTTTAAACAAAGGTAATGATTTCAAACTCGGTGAAGCTTTTATTTGGATTATTTAAATGATAATAGTAAAGATTTTACGGTACATTGAAGCACAACAAAACTGATGAAAATGATGCACAACAGCCAGCAAAGCAAATAGGAAAAATGACATATCAAATTAAATGCGAAATTAAAATATAGTTAAAAATGAGAGTCGGTGCTGTTCACAGAATCACACCTGTTAACAATTAAAGCTAAAACTGAAAAGGTGAGTTTTTAGTTTCGATTTGAAATCTGTTGCTCTGGAGTTTCTGCGCTGGGACCTCTGAAACATGGAGTGAAAGTTGTGACCCTACTGCTCTCCTGAACTGTGATATTGGTAAATGCTTTCATATTACCTTTATAGCCACTCTTGCTAGTTTAAATAGAATAGATCACATAGATCTGTTCTACATGGACATGCTTATATTAGAAAATATGGTCTTTATTATTCCAGTGGGGTTGGGCATCCTCAAACCCTCTCTCGCTCATACAGATGTGTGAACATCCCACATTTATGATTGTGTTGTTGTTAAGGTGGAGGAGGCTGACCACATCTACCTGCTCATGAAGGAGGACTACCGGATCTCTAGGAATGTGCGACTGGCGTGGTTTCTTAGTAAACTGAACCAAATCATCTGTCCGGCTTCAAAGCCTGAAGTGGTGAGTTTCCTCTCCTGTCCTCATGATGGCCCAGCAGCACCAAGATCAAGATTGGCACCCTTCTATTATTATCCTTGTATATGCCACCGATGATTAGATGGTGGCTGCACTGTGACAAATTAAAGGAAAAATAGAGAGCTATTTTAACATTGTAACTGCTGTTCTGATTGGTCTCTAAAAGCTACTGCAGATCATATTTCCTCCCACTTCCTGTTGTAGCTGCACTCTGAAAATGAACTGGACCTGCTTAGCATCTTACCTAAAGGATGGCAGCCAGATATCTCCCCAACTTCACACCCATGCATACTGATGCCTTCCACCCGGGCCACCTTCCTGGCCCGGAGGTACCGCTTCATCATCGAGCTGGACCTGAGTCCCTCCACAGGGATTGTGGTAAGTCTTAAATGCACTGTCTCCTGAATGAGTTCAAACAATATTAAAAAGTGCTTAGTGCAAGAATAGATGTAATATTTAAGTTTGTTATGATTATTTGCTGTGTAAATTATTCATAGTGGACAATCCATTTGTCTGCTTGTCTTATATCAAGTACATCACGTCTCTTTCTGGCTCCTTAGTGTCTCAGTGTGTTTCCATTTGTAGTCAAGAAGGCTTTTAATTTATTCAGACGCTGTTAGAAGAGCAAACAAATTTAAATTTTGTGAATGAATTTTGCAAATGGTAAATATTTGATCACTTAAAGTGCTTTTTCTTACTCCAGCTGCCTCTTTATTTAACACTGGGGACAACCCTGGGTTCAGTATGTTGCTCAAGGATACTGCAGATGACCCGCTCTGCCTTCTGAGCTCACAATCATTTGCTGCTCTGACTCGCAGACGAAGCACCTCATTAAGATTTAGATTGTTCACTTTTAGTTGGTTGAATGTGAATCGTGCTCGAGCTGTTGCTCAGTGGGATGTTGCTACTCCGTACTCAAACCTCTCACAGAAAACTGGATGCATGGCCATCCATGCATGTGAAGCAGCACTGCATGGTGATCCAATGAACTCTTACCAAGTGCAATCACAAGGATAGAATTAAAGTCTGAAAGCACAGAACTGAGACTGTTGTTGTGCTGCTGAATGTGTTCCTCAGTCTTCACATTTGACCCTTTTTATATGAGACAGCACAGAGTATTCTGTAAATGCACACGCTGCACTGTTGAACCATATCGTTGCATAAGAGAAGGACCTCATGCAGTTCAGAGGTTTCAGGTCCGCTTCTCTCAGCATGTCTGGTAAGATATGGACAACGGATGGACTTATTTGCTTCTTTGTTAGCATGAAGCCCATATCTGGAAAACTGTTAAGCAGTTACTTACAGATAAGAGATATCCTTATATGGTGTAAAGCAAGAACTTATTTTTAAGTGCCTTAAACCTGCACGACTTCAAATTGGAACCTCGGGTTGCAAAAAGTATTAATTCCTTTAAATTACAACCTCAGTAAGAGATTTTTCATGAATTTATGTAGTTTATAAATTCACCTAATGTTAAA